ATAATAAGCTTATGATGTGTATTATAAATGAATTCAACATTTCATGATTCATTTTGATTCACTACCAGCAGTAAACATTCAAAATCTACTATGACAAAAATCTGCTTAGCACCAAAATGTGATTTTGATCTAAAATGTAATGAATTATTTTGTCTTCATTGAAACATTTTGGGTTTGGGCTCTGAAATTTAACAAAGAAACAATTTACGGATAATAATCAGTACAGGAATAATTGATTTATTTTGAGTTTGGGAAGTTGCTCCTCTTCTTTTTTAAATAAAACTTTGACCAAGCAGATATAAAAAAAAAATGGGGAGATATTATTTCTGATATCATTATCCTCCTAATGCAGACACTCTTTACTGCTTTAAAAGAAGTAGCAAACTACATATTTTATTAATAAGAACTTATTTTCTTTCCCCCTTGTTGGGTCAGTACAGATCTAATGCAGGCAGCAGCTGGGATACATGTAACCTCTACAGAGCAGAGAAGAATGAGATCAGGAGGAAGAGCTGAGGGGTTGAGGGAACCTCTGTCTGACGTCATGAATGGATCATTAAAAGTCAGTCATGAAAGGAGATCAACCAGGTTGTTTTCCTGGGTACAAACTCGAAAAGAAGAAATTAGCCTTTGTTCTGGACTCTGTTTTGACTCGGTCTGGGAGCTGGAACTGTGAACATGGTGTGCTTAGGACTTTTAAAACCTCTCTGGGAGACCAATTATTCTCTGTCTGAGTCACCTCAGAGAGTTAACACCGTTTACATGAGCAGCCTGTGCATTCAAAGAAAGCAAGCTTTAAAGTTCAAGCTGCAGCGCTGCTGTTTCGTTCCATGATGCCTGAAATCTGCTTTTCTGTGCTTTGCTGCCTCTGTACCATAAGAGCAGTCATGTTAAAAACTACCGAAGCTCCCTGGGAAGGGCTGAGTACGCCACAGCTGGAGACATCTGGCTCTTTCTACAGTTTAAAGAAAACTCTAAACAGTTAAACCAAGAGTTAAAGAAGGGAGTGCGCTGTATGATATAGCTGGAGGAGGCTAAAAAGATGCAAAGCAAGGTGAGCTAAGTGGGATAACAGGCCAGATGGAATCAGCTGAAGGTCAGAGGAAAATGATTAGCTGGACGAAGAGCTGTGAGGACAGATGGAGGGAGAGAAACGACTGCAGGGACGTGGAGGACGAGAGGAGAACTCTGTGAACTGAGTCCATATCACAGTACGGCAGCAGGCGTGCTATTACAGTCACCGTCAGACCTTTACTTCCTGTCCTACAGCACAACAAGTACCATCAAAAATCCAGGAGGTGTAAAAACTGCTGCGTCCTATCAGATCCGGCCAAAGCTTCATCCTGCTGGTCTAGATTATTTTGAAAAAACTTCAAACCGCGATAGAAACCCTCCACTAGGGTTTCAGTCCAGATCATCTCGTCACAGAAGCCAGTAACCAACTTACAGGACAATGAGACAAATTCGATCAAAGGGAAATGTATGAAAAAGCTTGTTTCTTTCTAAAAGGGAATAAAATGTAAAACAGTAAACCTTAAAGCTATAGTATTGTTTAACTTGATTGTGCAAGGAAGAAATATATTCTCAATAGAATCAGACCTATTTTAATATGTTGAATTCATGATACTAAGCCTTCATCATTTGCAAATATGTATGGAAATGTTTTTACTTCTCCAGTAAAAAAAAATCAAGAGCAAAAGTTTACCTATAAATGTGTTGAAATCTGTTGATTTAAGTCAAAGCAATTGGAGGATGACCGAGTCAAGCAGTTTTAAGCCAATCAAATAATTGCATTTTAACATGTGATTTGGTCAGCTGAGTCTCTTTACAGTTAGGTGGTTCGTAGCTTAATGGAGATGAGTGAGGACACAATTACAAAATGGCAGCTAATCAAATGCTAACACACCACCAGGTGTTAAGAGACTCTATTCTGCCTGAAGGACTGGTTTTTCATGTAATCAAAGTATAATCTGATTGGCTGAAATGTGCTGGATTCGTTCATTTGTTGATTGGTTTTGGCTCCAGTCACTAGAATGTCAACACATAGACCTAGTCCACACAAAGACATATTTTATAGAGATATATTTTCATAAACAGCTTAGAAAAAAATTTGCTTTCCAGAGAATGTATAGAGGTCCAATAAAGACACTGTAGTACACCTGCCAAGCCCTTGGTTGGCACTGTGACAATGCCACAGAGTCACACCCAAACCACTGACAGAACTCAGATCAGAATATTTCAAATCAGACTGTCTATCTGTTAGGACTCCTGTCTGTGTGGTCTGTGTTTCTGTGTGTTTGTCTTCCTTCCTCCAACAGGCGTCGCCTGGTTCTGATTCTCGTCCTCACACACCTGCAAGGGGTTACCTCATTAACGGAGTGTTCTTAAGCTGCTGACTGCCACTACCTCAACGCCAGAGTGTTTGCCAGTTTTGGGTACTCTAGCCAAGGTGAACTTTGCTGAGTCAAACTGAGTTTTTGTCAACCTGAGTCTTAACATTGATTTTGCCTTTGCCTCTCTGCAGGAAGTCATCCTGCAAACTGGATTTTTCAGACCTTCTCTCCCTGGAAGGATCGACTGAGCTTAAAACTGAGCTGAGGATACAAACCGGAGTTTTGCAACCACTTTTCCCCGAGGTAACGTTTGAGCTTTACACTGAGAAAGGGATTCATCTGCACAACAGTCCGTTCACATACCGCAGGAAATCTGAGTGGCAGTCAGTCTTTCTCCGATCATCTACAAACAACTGCATTCTGGGTAACCGTGTCCGTCCTCCACCGTATGAGACAAACACCGGAACACATTCCTCATCTGCTGGAGTCTAAAAGTAAACCTAATTTCTGGAAACGTCTCCTCTACAAGTTCAATCAATTCTCTCACTGAACCTGAACTAACCGCAGTGTCTCCCTTGAGCAGTGTTCAGAGCAACACTGGAACCTCCACAAAACTTCTCAATAAACCTGTTAAACTTCTTCCCTTGTCTCTCTGGACTGGTTTTTCTGATCTATCCGAGGTCTTGATAAAATCATGACACTATCAGTCTCACACTCCATCTGTCCCTCACTGGTGAACAAAATCCTGAGCTACTAAGCATTGTCTGCGCTATGTTATTCTACGCCACAGCTCAAGAGGGACAATCAAGAACTAGCTAGGATAGTGGGCACCTTGTGTCGGTTGGACGAGCTTGTTCGCTGTCTACAACCCCTCAATCAACACACAGTTCACCCCTGAGTGTTCCCCAAAGACTGGCATTGGCGCTGCGTGTTTTGGCTTTGGGTGCAAACCAACAGACCATTGCACAGAGCTACAAACTAGCGTCCTGTACTGTGTCTGGTATAGTGTCTGAGGTGTGCCAGGTGTTGTGGAAAGCACTACAGCCAGAGTTTCTGCCATTAGATACCAAACAGTAAAATATGCATGGTGTAGAGCAGATGTAGAAATTATCAATCAGAGGCCTCTTTTCTTTCCTTTCTCGCTATCTGCGGCACTTTCTGTGTTAACTGCGACACACTCACAGACGACCTGTTTTCTGAGCATAAACCGAGTTTTACTATAAGGTTTATAAGGTCCGATTGAGCCAAAAACCCCGGGCCTGGACAAACACCTCATGCAGGGTGAAACAGCATGGGGGGAAAGAGGCGCATGCAGTTTACAGAGCCAGGTTGAGCTACAATGTCACTGCTAAAAAAAGCTGCAGCTCACTTATCCACACTGAAAAATGAAACCGACATTCAACAAATTTCTGCACACTGGGAACATGTTTTAAAAATGTTTCATGTTTTCCCAAAATGTTGGCTCCGTTTAGACACACAGCTACACCTGTGTCCTTGTCTCTGTATAGATAGGGCCTTAGAGTAACAAAAAATAAAGTCAGGTTAATAATCGAATGCCTGAAAAAGTCTGATTCTAGTGAGATTTTATCTTTTCCACATATTCCTGATAAATGATTATTTCTGGGTGAGTGTGGAGAAATAGAGGAGACTGAATACTACTGGCAGTGAACAGATGAGCTTTGAGTATAAACAAAATCCGTCCCAAAGACCTCCTGGTATTAAATTTGTGGTTAAGCGTAAAGGGATGCTTTTTTGAGCAAAGTTCTTCCAACTTGAAGAACTTAAAGACAAAAGAGAAATATAAATGAATAAAAGTATGTGAATATAAACACTGGTGTGCAAGCTGACATGTATCCTCACATTTCACTACTATATGATAAAGTCCAGCAACGGCACTTAGACAGCTGACAGTGGTAGAAAAACGCTTCTTAATTACAAAAGTAGTAAACCAACTAAATCTAGGTTGATTATTTCTGAATTAAGTTAAAACTGTGTCCACCAATAATAGCAGGAAGATCAAACAATTAAAAAAGTGGTAAATGAGGAAGATTTGCCACGCCATTTTAGTTAGAAATAAAACAATGCTTTTTTTAAGCGATATGTTATCATGCAGGAATGTGTTATTCAAAGTTTATAGAAATCTAGAGGATATTAAAAAGTTTTTAATGTCTGCAGCAAGAAGGTTACCTGCTGCTGTAAAACGTAAATCAGATAAATAAAATAAACAAATAATTAAATAAATAAACACAATCTTTCTGCTACATATCCAAAGCTGCAGGTTACTTTAATTATTTTCCACTTCATCCATCCATAGTTTTGGCTTTTTAGGATTTTTTTGAGCTGAGGGCAAACGGCCTGTGTCACTTTATTTACACTGCAGATCTGTCATCAACATGTACACCCACAGGTGTCATTATGCGCACTTTGATAACCGTGGTTTAAAGCAAAGCTGCTGTCACATCGTTACCCAATCAGGGGTAACAGTGGTTCACCTGCTGTGGCTTTTGATTCGCTCCTGTTGCTCTCACGGTTCACAGAGACCAGAATCAGTGGAGTAGAAATTAGCGTCCTGCTGTATCACAACAGGCTTTGTTACATTTTTTGTGATCTTATTTAAAAAAACAAAAACAAAAAACAATCCACTGGACTTGGTATCCAAGTTTGAAGTTTTTTTTAGGAAAGAATATGTTCCAAGTCATTCCATAAGACTAAGTTCCGAGTTTTTTTGGAATGACTATGACCTGGATGACTAGGAACCTTCACCAGCATTTCTGTGATGTCATCTTCTGATTCCTCTTTCTTATTTATAGGAATCAAAATGAAATGTAAACTCTGTAAGTGGCTCAAGTTTTTATAATTCAGATAATCATTAACTGATTTACTAAAAATTAAAATAATATTGTCAGTTCATCTTTCTTTTTCAATCATCCAGCATAATGATGTGAGTGAAGCATCAGCATAAGATTATTTAGCAAGAGGCCGAAATGTAGCATCAGGAAACTGCTGAGCCAAATCTGAAAAAGTGTTAGATTAGATTATTTACTAAAATACATCTAATGGTGGTAGGCAGGCTTAAAATGAATCTCAGTCTGATGAATTGGAATATTTTGGTAGGAATTGGGAAAGTTAAGTTACCTGGAGACAAACAAACTTATTTCCAGGTAAAATTCAAAAGCTAATCCCACAAAGTCCAAAGCCAATCGAAATTCCTGAATTGTCCTGTTTAATAAACGCACCATGAGCAATTAGAATGTGCTACACTTTCCTACCACTATAGTCAATATATACTGTGAATCTCAAGAAGTTTCCTTATAAGATTCGTGGAAAACTAAACACCAAATACCCTCTAAATAAACACAGACTTCTTTCTCCTAAATGGATCCCATTTATGTAATTTATCAATTGAAATATTATAAACCTCAGCAACCTTCAGCAAGCGTGGACAGATAAGGCTGTAGAACTGTCTTTATATGCAGACGACTTATTTTTCTACTTCTGTAAAAATCGGGCGGTTTAATTGAGTAATTCTGTCCCTATGACTAAATAAAGAGAGTTTCATGTTAACAAAAAAATTAACTGTAGTGAGTTTGTATGTGGTTCAGTCAAAAAGGGAGAAAAACCTCCAACAGTTTTCCATCTCAGTATAACTGAAAACACAGTTCTGTGATCCACAGAGATCCTTTTTTTTTTCTTTTTTATTATGGCCTTTCTACCTGTTTAATTTTCAAGTTTATTCTTAACCTTTTTTTTTTTTTTTTTTACATAACTTTGTTTAAACCTAAAAACTAAAGCAGTTCAGATGTAAAGTTGTCTGAGGAAAAAACTTGAAGGTAGAGCCGGACCAGGCGGACATTTTCAAACTCAAGTCTTGTCATTTTCTCTGAGAAGGAGAAGCTGTTTTAGGTCCAACAAGAACTCCCAACGTCCAAGAAGAGGTGTAGACAAACTTCATTTTTTTTTTTTACGTCACCCTGGACTTTATTTCACTGCCTTATAGGTTTGGTTTTAACATTCTTAAATATGAACACTTCTCAGAAGGTTTTAAATCAAAGTCTTGATCTACTCTTTCTGAGCTTTTTTTAGCTGTCAGCTTCTTTTGCCAGCAGCATCTTCCAGTCTGTCTTTTGCCAGAGTTGTTGTTGAATAACCCAGCTTTAAAACGACAAAGGCTTGACCCTGTCAGGTTGAAGGTTTTGGCTCCCTGCCAGGTTTAAGGTTTTGGTTCCCTGTCATACCCACTCCTGCACTGGGTATTTGTAATAGTGCTGCATCATTGTGTTCTGCTGTGCTCCTTTGCTCTTAAATTGGAAAATTGTGTAGATCAGCACCAGGATGCACAGTGACAGGATGCAGGGGATCACCACGGCGATGGCGTTGACTGTCTTGGGGACATCATTGATGGTCACGATGACGTCGACGTCGTCGAGGGGCACCTGACGGTCTCCACGGTTGCTGCCGGAGCGCTCCATCTCTGGCTGGTAGCAGCCCATCCAGTCTCGTAATATGGACTTTGGATATCCAGGTTCCACCGTCAGTTTCTGGTTGTCGAACTTCCAGTACTCCTTCCCTTTGTAGAAGTAGGTGTGGTCTGAGGGGGGTGGGGTGGTGGAAGGTGAAGGAGTTAACAGAGAGAGAGAGATGGTCAGGGTTAGGTTATTTTTAATGGAAGCTGAGATAAACTGCTATGCCTGCAAAAGTTGGAAGTTAAGCAGATATGAAATACCTGGTTCAGCCACGCAATGTTCTGAATTAACCAAGAAAAACCTGAAAATATGACTTTTTCAGCCTCATCTTAACAAGACCAGGTCTTTTATGGTTATATTTTCACCTTTAAATCCCTTTTAAATGTTAATAAAAGAAGGAAAGCTGTTTCCAAGATTATTTGTCATAATTTCCCTTTCCATCACCGTCTTTAAGGCTTTCAGGAATGATTTAGACTCAAACAAACCTTTAAAACTTAAATAAAGGATCATAATCAGGAGTCATTGAGCATCAAGGAGGAGCAGCCATGTATTGAGACAGATATAAAATACAGGTAGAGCATTGCAGGGAAAAATTCTGGTTTGGAGCTTTGCTCCCAAAGACCTTTTTAGGAGCATTTTTCCCACCATCTGCTGGTATATCAACCTAATCCAGATCCCAACTCCAGAATCAGTCAATAATTATTTTTAATTGCTTACTGTTTTAAAAAAAAATGTACACTTCGAACCAGACCTTGAGCACAGTAACTCTTCTCTTTTAGAACTGTTGTTGTTAGCGCACATCCACTACAATTCCAAGACCACGGTTTTCAGGATCATCTTCGATGATTTCATCTCTTCAAATAATTTTAATAATAATAATAAAGAAATGTATTGTCCCAAAATGGGGAAATTCACTATCTGGATTTAACCCATCCCATTCGGGAGCAGAGGGCTGCCACTGTGCGCCGCCCAGGGAGCAGTCTGGGGTTAAGGATCTTGCTCAGTGACCCCCAGTAATTTCTTTCACACTGATAAGATTATGCTTTCATTTGTCAAAAGAAACTCACATTTTGTACAAACCCAGTTAAAAATTATAATTTTTTTAATTCTTTAAATATTAATTAACATGAATAACAATAATAATCTAAAGTGAAACTATCAAATCATATTGTCAGATTAATCCCTTTCTTTGAGTCCTTGTGGCCACACAGAAAACTGCAGCTGAGGAGCAATGCACCAGCAACACAAAGTTGTGTTGATTCACTCAATTGCAAACAGCATGAATGAACTTCATTTAAAAGATATAGAGCAGAAATATAGTTCTGTAATAGACAGTATTGTGATTTATCTTTCGTATCAGTGATACTTGTTTATCCAAAAGTCATATTTTACTTTTTTAAATCTGAGCCAACTGACTCCTGGTTTAAGTGGGCCGGTATAGATGGAAAAATTCCTGGGCTGAAAATGGTTCCCAGTCCGAGCCTGACCTTGATCACAGACTAGTTCTTTGTATTTATGTGCTCGTCTCTGGGTCCCGGTTTTTGACCCGCACCTGTTTCATTACTACTTCTAGTCTTTCACCTGCTCCTCGGTACTCTTAAGCGCTTTTCTTTCCTGCAGCTCATTTCTTATAATAAACTGATTAACATAAGAAAATCTGGCTTCAAAACTGTTCTGTAGGCCTGCTTGTGCATTGCATTAACACAATGAACGCTCTAATAATGTTTATGGGCAGATATGCTCACCATTTCCAAAGTTGCATGTCCTTTACTTATTCTCCAACTACATCAGTTAATCTGGTTTAAAGATCAGATTTCAGGATTCTTCTATGCAACTGGAAAGGAGAATGTTAACCCAACACCCTTTTATATAAGACTTTTCATCATGGCACTGTTAAGAAGAGAGATGCTGCTGAGCTAATGTCTACTGATTTAAGGGGGAAAAAAGGAAAAACAGAGTCTAAGCAGTAAATCGGTACCACTTACATCCCTCTCTGCTGGTGAAGGCTCCCTGTGGAGAGTCAGGGACTCCGTCCCAAACACTGATGGATTTTGGGTATCCTGGGTCCACGGCTCGCTTGTCCTCATTGTAGCGCCAGTACTGGTTTCCTTTGAAGAAGTAGGTTTTCCCAACGACCTCCCAGCGAACCGCTGCATCAATGCCATCTTTTGGGAGGAAGCTTCCCAGCTCCTTCAGGTTCTGAGGGTAACCAGGTTCAGCTTTGACCTCTTTAAACACCCAGAACTTATTACCTGAGAAAAGTAGAAAGGAGAAACAACATTTATTGCCCAAATCAACCCTCCCCACATCATTTGTCTCCATTGGTTTCAATGGATTTCACAAATTTTCCTTTTTTACTATCGATTACACAAGGATAATATCCTTGCATAATCGAAAGGCTGAAACTATGGTCCGAAAATTTTGATTTCTCTTATTTTATAAGTTAAATTTACACTATTTAATCACTATAAACATTTTAACTCACTCTGTTCCATTGTTATAAGTACGGGGAACACACTCTGCTTAGGCAGAACAGGGTGAATACAGAGCGGTACGGGCTGTATGATGAACTGTTCTCTCCTTGCAAAGATATGAAAATAAAGTGCAGACTGAGTGAAATCCATCGATCTCTGTTTATTCAACTGGGTTAAATAGTTGAATACTTTTTTTTTACCACTACACTCTTTTAAAGTATTGTTTGATTTATTGATTAATTGACTGATTGATTGATCTTTGTAAAGATTCAAGAGACTTAATGAAGGCTTTCAGATTGTTAAGGAGTCATTTTCAACTAACATTAAAACAATTTCTCATTTTGTTCTGCATATTCTGGTGTTTGCACGGCTGAGGAGAATTTAAAAAATGAAAAAAATGTAGAAATTTAGAAATTAAAAAACAATAAAAAACAAAAAAAACAAAGTTGTGGAATGTTGGACATCTTGGTATATCTTTGGCGGACGGATGAGATAAACTAACACATAAATTATTAATGCCTTGCGAGTACATGTTGTGAAACAGCTAAAACTGTGTCAGAATTTACTGATTGTGTTAGAAGTTTTCCTACCTTTGAAAAAGACAAATTTTCCATCAGACCTCTCGTAGGCGGCATCAATGCGAGGAGGCAAGCCTTTCCAAAACTGTTCAATCTCTATGGGATAACCCTCCAGGACTTTGTTGTTCCTCAGGCGCCACAACCAGCGGTCCTGAAGTGCAATAAATGGAAACTTTAGCAATTTTTCCAGTTTTAGTAATTTTGCACCTTAACAGCTTGCCCTACAAGAAAAGTTCATAAATAAACCAAAAAAAAAAGGAAAGCAACTCAGTCAGTTTTTATACATGATTAGTCAATAATGATGATTAAAGATGACCTAGAACCGCCTCCATTATTTTGTAGAGGGGTTATAGTGCTTGGGTGATCCCAGAGGCTATGTTGTCTGGGACTTAAATGCACCTGGTAGTGCAAGATGATAGGGTGATGCATCAGAAAAACTGCATTTAAAAAGCTTTTATAATGATTAAAACATCAAGGCTAATGATGTCACCCAGTCAATCCCGGAATCTGGTCTTGTAGGGCACTTCATTGCCAATGCTGACATCATGATGGCTTCCCTGGATTATGCCCTAAAGTGTCTTTTGTGTTTTTCTCACTGTTTCTGTCATTACTCCCTGGAAACCATTACAAGGAAAGAACTCTGAAACCATCAGACTTAAACTGCTCATACTATTCCACCTTGTCTGGTCAGGTCTGAAACTATCCCAGCTACTACAGAAGATGGAGGAGCAGCAGCTTTCAATGGAATACACTGGACACCCAGATACCATAGGGGAATGGGATGCTGGTTAAACTGGGACAGGATAGTCTTTGCACTACACTCCCCTCTATCCACTTTACAAATGTTTGCTCTTTCACTAATATAATGCTTCAACCGTTTTCCTTAACAGAACCATTTGGACTTATGCAGATCTGCTGCTCTCTGTTAACCTAAATCCTAGCTTTTAGGATTCTGTCATTTCTGGGCAGACGGTGTAATGCAGCTCAGGAGGTGGTGTCAGGACTCCTGTCTGTGTGTTTGTGTTTCTGTGTTTGTCTTCCTTCCTCCACCAGGAGGCGCCTGGCTCTGGTCCGCCTCCTCACACACCTGCTGATGGTTTCCCCGTTAAACGGAGTGTTCTTAAGCTGCTGATTGCCACTACCTCGACGCCAGAGTGTTTTCCAGTTTTGGGTACTCTAGCTAAGCTGAGTTTTGCTGAGTCAAACTGAGTTCTTGTCAACCTGAGTTTTAACATTGTTTTTGTGTTTGCCTCTCGGCAGGAAGTCATCCTGCAAACTGATTTTTTCGGGCCTTCTCTCCCTGGAAGGATCAATAGAGCTTCAAGCTGAGCTGGGGTTACAAACAGGAGGTTTGGACCCACTTTCCCCAAGAGATCATTTGAGCTTCACACTGAGAAAGGCATTCATCTGCACTATGACCCGTTCAAGTACCGCAGGAAATCTGAGTGGCAGTCAGCTTCTCCGTTAACCTATTAACACCCGCATTCTGGGTAAACCCTGTTCCGCCCTCCACCAAATCAGACAAACACTGGAACAACAGCATACAGACTGTAGTCAAAGATTCAACAACTTCTCTGGAAATGTGAGGCAGCAACCAGATCCTCTTCTCCTAGTTCACGAATCAAATTTCCCACTGAGCCTGAACTAACCGCTGTGTCTTCATCTCACTTTACAGTTGAGCAGTGTTCAGAGCAACACTTCTTTCTGCATTATCTCTTCAATAAAACCTGTTAAACCTTTTCTCCTGGTCTCCCTGTTTGGTCTTTAGCATTTGGGTCTGAACTTCAGTAAAACGATGACAGGTGGACTCTGTTCCTACAGAGGTTGGTGAATTAATGTCATGGAGTCATCACTTAGAGACATTTTTCATTAACAGCAAACATTTTTATTCACCATGGAAATTGTCCTTGTTTGTCCTGGTTGCTGTTTATATTATATATGTTAGTGAGGTTTTTCTAGACTGACCAGATTACTAACTGGGTACTGTACACAACCACTACCGGCTGTCATGTGACCGCGAAAATACAAGAAAAGGGTTTGCCTAAGGACACAACGACGGAAATGGATGGAGGGGGTTAAAAAAGGCAACCCTCTGGTTGCAGGACAAACATCCGTCACCCGTTGAAAAAAGCTTCATTCTTTGCTTATTGTTCTGGGGTATTTTTTAACAAAACAAACTTCAGCCACATCATTACAAAGTAGGAGCAGCATATTAAGGGTCTTACGATGAATACTGACGCAATAAACCACAACAACATAACATTAACGGACACATAACGCGTGCAGGTTTAAGACTCACTGATCACCGTCTTGTTCAACCTTTTCTGACTTACAGGCAGAAAATTTAATTTACTAAACCTGTTTTAAAGAATGTGAAAAGATGGACCAATGATTCAAAGCTTTAGTTACACTGGAGTGATTTTAAGGCAAAAAAAACCTGAATAAAAGTCAACCCTGTTGCTGCCTCGGTCGTTGCAGAGGCAAAAACTTGGATTTGGGAAAAGTTCAGTAAGGCTGTTACGACTGGTGTTAACTTATGTAAATATCAGTGAGCAGGTGCTTGTCATCGATATATAACACGGATATAAAAACTGGAGGCAGACGCCCTGCATCCATCCTCATCTCATCTCAACCAGCCACACTGTTTAACATCATGTAAAAGTTCTGGAGCTTGTAGGAGTGAGTTGCTGCTTCTGTTTACTTAGTTTTCTCATGTTTTTATGAATTAGGCAGGTAAGTGTTTTGTCATTTGATTTATTTACTCAATTAGGTAATTTCATTAATATTCAGATAATCTTTTATTTGTTGTTTTCGGTATTAGCTCTCTCTGAATTCATATGCTCCACTTGTTGTAAATTCTCAATCAAAAAAATGTTTCTGAAATAAATAACTTCATAAAATCTTCAACTTCATGTGTGTCGCCTGCTTGAGATCTGAAGAGGATGGATCCTTCATATTATGATCCGGCCACCCCTAGAAGGGTCGTAACAGAGGCCATGAATATGAACTATTGTTTGGCCTCAAAGCGATTCTGGTAAACCATCTGCTGCCTCCATTCTTTAGTGTAAAGTGATAGAAAAGATTCAATCCGAGGTTGAACTTTATTCATCTGAGGATTAATTTATGATAATATAGGAGCCGGTGATGATCAGATACGCTATGAACTCCTCCAAGACAAAATTTTAAATGCAACCCCAAGTTATATCCAAGCCTGAACGAAGTCCTTTTGATGTGTAAACGTGCCTCTTCATGTCACTGACAGACAGCCTGAGAGGAATAAAGTCAGACAAACAAAGGAAAGGTGAGGAGAGACAGACAGTCAGATGTGTACAGATGTGGACGGATGAGCTGCCAGAGATGATAAACATTCTCAGTGACAGCTGATCCTGAAGACAGACGGAGAGGTAGATCAGTCTGACCTTTTCTAAAATTCACTTTAAAGATCAGAGACTTCTGAATGGACTTTCTATTTCCATCTGCCGCTCAAACTGAAGCTCTGGGCTAAAATCTGAAAAAAAGAAAAAAAAAAAACGTGGTCATGATGTATTTTCTGCACTTCCTGATCATTTTAAATGTTGCATTTATTTACAGCTTTAACTTACTTATTATGTTGTAGATTACTTCTGACTGTATATTTAAACTCACTGTATTTAGTGAGACCACTGAAGTTATTTAAGTCTTGTTCAGATAAGAGGACAAATATATAAACATGTACTCCAGGAATTGTAAAAGAGTTTCTGGATGACAGATAGAGCATATTAAATTGTTTGACAAAAACATTCTGTAAATATTTGTTAATGTATTAAATTAAAAACACTACTTAACATAATGTAAACATTTAGAATCAAAGTTGTATTTTTTAAGCTATGTCAGCTTATGAAAGCTGAAGTTGTTTTTTTAAAGGTCTCAATAATTTGGATCAAACCATTTCAGAACCATATATCATTTGATTAGATTTATCTAAACCGGTTGCTTTGGAAAGTGAATGTAGATACGTTTATATTAATGTTGAAAAACAAATTTATCAGTGAGTAGATCATTTGGAAAAACCTCATTTATGAAGTTATTCAAATGTATCAGAGGTCTGTTTTAACTTGTTTACCCGATTTTAACATAAAATCTAAAAATCTAGACCAATTTGCAGAAACATTAGGCATAAACTTGAGATTCTTTTCTTTACTTGGAGAAATCAACTCTAAATGTGATGTAGATAAATATCCTCTTTATGAGTTTTTATAGCAGTAAAATGTAAAGCTTTTAAATCATTTTTAGAGTTAATTTACTTTGGAGACATTCTTTCATAAAACCTCTGTTATTTTTTTTTATCTCATCAACAAAAAAAAAGTCAAATGGGATTTTTACCAAAAAGGACATTTTTATAGTTATAGTTAAGCTACATTTTCTTCTATTTAGAAAGAAAAGACAGATGACAGAACAGAAAAACATGAAGCTTTGTTTTATTTGAAAACCGCTCATTGGATCAGAACCAGGAGTGCAGAAACAATCAAGCATAATCTCTAAGTTCTGAATGTCAGAATAGGTCCCTCTAGCTTTAATGGGTCAGCAGGTTTAAAGCTAAAGGCATGTATAGCATTGCAAGCAGGTCACCAGAAAAATACTGAAAGGTGTCTGTGACGTTTCATTCACTCTGCTTCCTTTCTCACTGAGATGGACTCTCAGACAGAAGGACATTTATGTCGTAGTTTTTGTTTTGTTTAAGTTTTCTCTTTGAGTTTTTGTTGCTTTTATTTTCATTTTGTGTTATTTTTGATTGTATTTGAGTGCTTATATATTTCTTGTTTACCATCTGTTGTGCTCCTGTGTCAGTCTCCTTCTCCTAGAGCGCTTCTAGATCCCTCTGTCCACACCTGTTCCTCATCTGCTAATTAGTCCTCCCATTGTTTCTGTCTCCCATATATACACCTCCTGTTCAGTCACTCTTTGCTGGCTCCTCGTCATTTCTTTTTCCTCATGTGTGTTTTCTCTGAAGTCTTCTAGTTCTTTGTTTTCTGTATTTTGGCGTTTTTTTTCCTCAGTTGCCACCCCTTTGGATTATTAAACTTGCAAGTAACAACCTAAGCTTCCATCTCTGCATTTGGGTCCTTTAAACCTCCACACAACCTGAAAATTTAAAACTATGAAAAGGAGCAG